CAAATTGTGGCGGAAAATTCACGGCTCCTATTTTTGTATTGGCTTTTCAATTTCCCGCTCGCTAAACTCGCTCGCTCGCTCGCTCGCTCGCACGAGCTCGTTTTCCGGTTTGAAAAGAACGCTTTGAAGGTAACGACGCGAGCCACGAAGCTCGTCCCTGTGTCTCCGAGAACGCGATAGCGCGAGTCCCCGCGAAATCTCGCGACGGAAATGGAAAAAGTAAAGGGCACCGGCGTACGGCCGTATGCGTCGACTACGAGAACCGCAGCACATCCGCCGCGGTGTTCTCTCGCAGCCCGCCCCCGGTAGGATTAAGTAGCGACGCGTGCTTCCTGGCGGCTCCACGCCCGGACCCTTAATTCGCTCCTCGAGGGAACGTGACCCGGGGATAAATTTGAATTTGCGCAAACTGCACTCGCCCCTTCGCGACGAAGGGCCTCGAGAGAAAGAGAGGGAGAGTGAGACAGGGAGGAGGAGTGGCAAGACTCAGGCTGGAGTTGCTCTTCGACGGGGACGGTGGGCGGACGAAGGGAAGTAGAGAGAGAAAGAGATTCAAGACAACAGGCTTAATAGCCGGTACAATGGAGGCCAGGCGAACGGAGGGTGATCTTCGAGTCTTTTACGTCGCACTTGACGAAACAATAGTCGAACGAGCGAGCCGATAGAGCGATAGACCGGCGCGCTGTCGGATTGGTGAAGAGGGCGGTCGAGGGGTGTCGGAAGAGAGGATCGGGCTGCATGCTCGGTAGACGGTCGACGACGACGGCGCGGAATCCGTAGCCCCGGGTCGGGTTTTAACGACGTGCTCGGACACAGTCGTCACATCCCTCCGCCTCGGTTGCACCGAGTTACCGGCGCTGCATGCAAGCGCACCCCTTCACCCCGTCGCGCGACTCTCTGATCCTCTCGTCCCGGTTGCCTTCACGGGGTCGCCTCGCTCTCGGTGGAGCCACACGGAGCTGCATGGAGCGAGCAAGAGAGAGAGAGAGAGATGAGTGAGACGGGCTACGCTTCACCAATACTATTATACCGAGCCCCGCACGACCAGCGCGCGACTCCGCGCTAAACACTCGCCCCGGCAACGAAACAAATCCTAGCGAAGTGAATGGGCGCGAACGAACTGCGTGGGTGCCGCGGAGAAGCGGACGGTTAAGGAATATTGTGCGTCTGATGTTAATTCGGATTTCAAGCCAAATGAAAATGTTATTCCCCGCGTCGCGCGATCATGCGTGGAAATCAAATTAAGCACGGCAAGCCCGTCCGGGAGTAGATCGAGACGGATTATGGGCACGGTTCGAACGTGAAAAATGTTTCACGCCGGTGGCGTGAAAAATATTAACGGCTAAAACAATATTGGCGGTAGGATCGCGAGGGCACGCGTCCGGTATGTGTCGGGCGCGGAAATTTATTCGCGCGAATAACGGATCAAGATTTTGAGTATGCGTATATCAATGCGCGGTAGTTTACGGTAAAGTATGTATAAAATATATACGTACGCTAATACATTCGCGTGCACGAATATATTCCAAGTTATCCGCCCGTTATTCGTGAATACATTTCGCCGAAAAGTCGAGCCGCATTACCGTCGCTAATCGTAACAATGAGTGACACGTGACACAAATGGAGGTACGAATGGAAAGTCGAGAAGAGCGTTATTCATAACGAACACAAAGTTCCCGCTAGTAAGTTACAAGCTCGTACATTACTCGTACTAATTATCGTTCGATAGTTTGCGAGTATCAGTAGCGTCATTATTTCCTCCCTGGAAACTGTATCCTCTCTCCCCCTCCCCCTCTCTCTTTCTCTCTCTCCTTCCGTTCGCTTCCATCGCTCGTATCTCCACGTCGTACCTTTTATATTCCGAAGCTGCTTTGCGAACACCGCGTCGTTTAACATTGAAACTTTCAGCCGCCTCACCCCCGTAGTGGGTCCGCCTCGTCAACCCCCTGCGGGCCGCGACCGCCGGAGCTTTATTGAGTGCGACGTTGTACCATCGACGATGACAGTCTCCCAGTGCGTGGGCGTTTCCACGCGCAATAGCAGATAAGTGCCTGCCGGCGATCAACGCGATGCGTCGCGAGAATTCCGCCGAACCTTAAAACACGCAGCCGGATAATTAAACATCGCGATCGATCGCGAGCTCTCTGCTCCTGCCGAAAGTAAAGCGAAACGTAAAATCTTTCTTTCGAAATTATACAATTCTTAGTTTAAAAAACATCCAATATTTTTCCACCCAATATTTTTCCCTCCCAATTCATGAAAATTATTCTTGAAACAAAAATATATTTTTAATGGAACCATATAGAATTGTTTCATGTAAACAAGTGCCATCCTCATATAGATTATATATTCTCTTTTATAAACGAGAATATGAATCTTGAATTGATGTCCCGTTTGGTTCCGAGGATGCAAAAAATAACTTAATTTTGTCCTATCAAATCTCATTGAGTCTGATCCGGATAAGAAGGTCAACTATTTGTCCATCATTGTTAGGAATTAGCTATTAGAAGATAATATGCATTCACTGCGAGATAAATATTTATCACCTGAGATAAAAATCGCACATTAGCACGAATGGCTAAGAAAGTTGCAGCCACTGCTAAGTATCTTATCGTATATGTACTAGAACGTGTTATTTGTTATTGATATCGGATATTTTTCGCTGTAACATCCCTCCTCCCGCCCGTCAGGTATAATTAAACGAAGCTCCAGCAGCCACGACCTTAGCTGTCCCCTTTCTAAGAAACATCTCAGCTGCCGTCAGGGCTACGTCTCGGCTCCTTCTGCTAATTCGTTTCCCGCGTGATAGATCGAGACGGGGGAGCGACTGTGTGCGATGCGATGAAAAATATAATTACGTAGATTACGAAGTCCACGAAGAGTGAACGGTCCGCGCGAATGAATGTAGGAGACTTCATTTGCATATTAGAAAGAGAGGGAGAGAGAGAGAGTGCGCGCAAACATAAACACCGAGCGAGCGTGAGCGGGAACTCGAAAAAATCGCTCTCGACGTTTCTGTCCCGAGCGATCTTACGATGATCTCTCGCGCGGCTTCGGAAAAAATTAAATAAATTCCGCGATAAATCATGGCCGGAGATATCACGGGAGGGGGAGGGGGGGGGGGG